TGAATATTTTATCAATGGATATATATTCCATAATAAAGAATATAAGCATGTAAGAAAGACATACAATAGTGGTGTTTGTGTTAAACGATTGAATTATAGTGAGTTAGAAGTTGACTACTATGATAAATTAGAAGAGGTTGTCGAACTGCAATATCATAATGAGCATAATAGAGTGTTTTCATTCAAACACTATTGGTATGACACCACAAAGAGAAATTAAAGTAGATCCTCACTATAAACTAGTCAAAATTAACACAGAAGCTAGACTCTGTAACGTAAATGATGTATTTGTTTTTGTAAAGCAATGTCAACAAATTTATTACACATACACCCCTTTCTTTAGAAATGATCAATCAAGAGTTGATTGGTTATCCATTTTAAAAACAAAACTTAAAGGTCGTGTCGAGGTTGTTCAGGATGACAATGAAGAGATAAGTGTGTGAGATAAAGTCTCTAACGTTAGTAAGTTAGTTGAACCATACCAAGATGCTACTTCGATTGACTTGAAAGAAAATTCAAATTTTCGTGTTTTTTATGATAGTCTTGTTGATGTTGGTGTTGATGTAGAGAAGTTAAATGTTGTTTTAAGCTCTAGTGGATAAAAAAATATCAATGAAGATGATAATAATGATATCCATATTGAAGATTGCAATAGAACTTATGACTATTTAATTGATGACGAAGAAAAAGAAAATTTTGACTAACTATCAGAATTAAGGAAAGTGTAAAGCATTTTTTTATAATATAATATATATTATGGATGATATTTTGTAACATGAAATATTTATTTTATAAATGTTAACTATTGTTATTATTTTGTGCGATGGACAATTTGTAATTTAAAAGTTTGTAGGTAAATAGGCAACACAAACATAATCTTTCATATATATTGCACAAACACCGATGTCAATATCGATGGATAGAGTTCGTCGACATTCCATATAGAGTTGTATTTACTAGAAATGCAACTATCACTGACATCTATATCGACAGATACAGGTCATCGGTATTTCACAGAGAGTTGCATTTATTGGAAATGCAACTATTACCGTCTATACTAATGAACAGAGGATGTCGACATTTATCGGCGCAGTTTACAATTACCTACAGAATCACCGACGAACTGTGTGAATTCCAAACGACAGGTATTAATGCTTCTCTGACCACGTGCACCTACAAACGGATTTATCGATGGACTGAGAAAATAATAGAGGGTAATTAAAAAAATTTAAAGTGAACTTTAAAATTTACCGATGGATCTGTAAAAATTCTCTAAGAGAATAATTAAAAATAATATTATTTAAATTGTTTGTCAGAGATTCCATCAGAAAAATTACGCTATAAATCCTAACGACCGCCCCTTTAGTTTAATTTTTCATCTGCTTCGTTTCAAAGCTTTCATTTTTGTTTTTTGTTCTCTCTCTCATTTGCTTCTTCACTTTATCTGTTGCTTGTAATCTCTAATTCTATCTTTAGCAAATTAAAAGGTATGTATTTCCATTTAATATGCTTAATGATTTTATTTTTTTATATTTTCTTTATTTTAGTTATTTTTATTTTTATGTTTTGGTGTATTTTTATAATATAGATAAAGTCTTGAAATAAACACATTATTAAGGTAAGCATTTTTCATTCCTAAAGTATATAGTTTTTTTTTATTTGTTGAATATATTTTATTGAATTTTAAGTGCTATTGTTGGATTTAATTTGTGATTGAATATATAAGAATAAATTTAATTGTTTTATCTTAATTTTACTCTATTATTGTATGATATGTGTTTAATTATTTTTATTAATTTTAATTGCTATTTGTATAGATGATAGTTTATATATAAGATTTCTGAATGGGATTAATTAGTTGTTGCTATTGTCAATATTTTCAAATTTAAAAACTTTGGGTAGTTTCCATTATAGGGGAGATATTGTTAAATTTTTTTAATAATTGAATTTAATTATTTAATTATTTATATAAAATTATGTAAATACGTAGAACGAAATCTATAGTTTATTGCTCACATATGGTCGCAACTTATTCTTCTAGTAGTGAGGATGACATGTCTTTAGATGTTGATCAATAAGAGACATCTGCACCGACTTGCGATGTAGCCTCTTCTAATGTAGTTTCATAATGTACAGTTGGTGTACTTTCACAGCGGAATCAATTCTTTTGCAAGTACAAGGCACATTGGAAGGATAACCTTTCAATGTAAGTTTGTTTCGATTTTAGATTTTTATTACTATAACATAATTTATGAATAATTAAAAAATTAATCAATATTTCATTAATTTAATTTATATTCATGTTCATAAATATTGAGGCCGCTCGAGTAATATCATCGATGTTTAAATCATCGATAGAGATTCCATTATTTTAATGAAGTCAGCTTTCTAGAAATCCTAAATAGACACCGTATATTCATGCATGGTTTGCCAAATTTGAAGTTGGTATTAATTTATGATTTCCAACTTATTTTTAATAAATTATTATTATAATTGTAAATAAATTATTATTTTTATTTTAAATAAATTATTTATACACAATAAAAATTCAACTGGGACAACGTGTTTACAATGTTGTGAGGAGGGTGTGGGAAAATCATACGACAACTAGGTAACATCGAAAACAATACAATATTTTTTTAAAAAAATTATATTTTAAAATCTAATTTATCACTATGGAAATAAGTCTCATGATTTTTCGTATGAAGCACAAAAAAGATTAAAAAAACGCAAGAGATAATGATTTTTAAGGTTGGAACGACATGGTTGTTTGGAAGGATTTCAAACAGCTATATATCCTAGGAGATATATGGCCACAATATATTAAGCATGTGATGTTTGAGAGGTTCACACGATGATCACAATCCGATGTTGGTAACCAAAACTAGCAAATTCATGGTTTAGTGACAATGCACACTATAGCTCCATTTCATTTGCTGCACATGCAAAATGAATGGTAAGATTAATTTAAATGAAATATATCATAATTAATTTGTTGTTACTTAATTAATTTTTTTTATATAGGCTATGTCTCTTGGATATAAGCTGAGCCCAATGAAACTATTTATAGAGACATACATGCAGAGTAAAAACCGCCAAAAAAGATTGCAACAATTCGTTGACAACCACACTCTCACACTTTGTGTTATGTTCGTTTAATCATTTTATTTTATAAGTTATTATTTTTATTGAATTAAATATAATGATTGTTTTTCATTTTTAGGAAACCTATAATAGTTGGTTGAGAGAGAGATATGAGGACGATCCTTCGACCCATCTAAATTTTGATCCAAATTTATAGATGGAGGTAAGATCTTTCGATGGATCTGATAAAAATCAAGTATACGAGCTCTCCAACACTATGGCTGATAACTTACAAGCGACCTGCAATGTCTCAACCATTACGAGCACTCAATCAGTATTAAGCACCCAATCTAAGAAGATTGTGGCCTTAAAACAATACACGGCTCATCTCACTGAAAAATACAAGCAACTATCGATGAACTATAAACAACACACGACTCATCTCACCAAAAAATACAAGCAACTATTGATAAATTATGAACAACTTTGTCAAATGATCACAAACATTACATCAAAGAAGGATCATACATGGAAGCCCCCTTTGTGGCCGTATGGCCCTAGAAACAACTAGCTTCCTCCTATAGCTCTGTCATTGTTCTAGTTTAATATTTTTTTAGAAATACATTAAATTTGTAATGAATATTATTTAACTCTATTTTTTATTTTTGATGTTTAATAAAATTTTATTTGCATAATTGGTTATTTTACTATTAAATGATATAATTTTATATTATTTATTCTAAATAATTAAAAACAAATCTAAAAAACCCCACCAATGAATTTACAAATAGAATGACTCCATTGATATTTTACTGAGAGTTGAGAAATATTTACTAAAAATGTCATAATCACTGACACCTTCACAGACAGATAAAGTCCGATGGCATTTTACTGAGTTGAAAAATATTTACTGGATATACCAATATCACCAACAAAATATATCCGTCAGTATATTTTCAACACAAGATTTTTTTTGGTGCGCATTTTGTTATTTGTAAAACTATTAGTTTTTTTATTCTCTAATAGACCTAGCAATAGAATGTGAGATTACCGATGAAAGATATTTTAACAAACACTTTTTATTAGTGATTTAGTCGATAAAAAATATAACAATAAAATCTAAATTTTAGATTGATGGATTCAATCCATCAAAAAAACTGTGAAATCTTGTCTTGATAGTGTATATATATATATATATAAACCTTGCTTAATGCAATATAATCAGTATCGCTCGACATTAATGCCTAGATTGGAATGTGGGAGCTTAAAAGCTGATGTAAGAAAGCAAAGGGGGGCCATAAGATTGTTAGTTCCAAAGGTATGATTTGAGTACGTATAACATTTGTTTCTTTATTAGGCAGTGTAAGTGCACCGTTGCAACATTTTTGTTTGGCATCGAAGAAATTACCCCCCACTGTACTAATGCATGGACAAAAACGCATCTATTCCAAAAGCTTCGAGTCATGAAACTTCCATGATATTTGTATAATGAGATTTCAAGGCCTTCCTTCAATAACATGAGTGGTTGGCTTGGTTGTTTACGGGGCCAGCATGCTCGTCCTTTGTTAATGGCTTAATGCCACCCCTATTAGCACTGTTTTCCCCAGATATGGCCAACTTTGTCGTTTTAGGTTAAGAAGATACAATTCGAATTCCAAGGAAAAACAAGATTTGGAGTTTACATTGGTGATATATGAATCACTAAATTTGAAGGGTTTTTTCAAAGTTTCTTCAGAAGGGAAAAAGAAGGGACCATGATGCACAAGTGTGAAAATGCCTGCATGTATTTGGGGGCCATGCACATACCAGAGAGTAATTAGTAATTACTGCAAAGGAGAAAACAGATGACTACATTTACTAGTTCTGAACTACCCACCTTACATCCTGTATTAAAGCTCGTTTCACGATTACAAAGATCTCAACTCTTACTTTACAACTCTTCAATTATCAGTCTTACTGTCTTACTTACTCTCTTTAGCTCAAGATGGCTACCTTCAAGCTGCCTTGCATGCTGGTGATTTTCTTGGTGCTGGGTGTAGGTTTAGGCCAAAATGTGGATCCGTTTGGATCACAAGTAGGAAGGAGAAGGGAGATGGTGCCTGCTATGTTTATATTTGGAGACTCACTCATTGACAATGGCAATAACAATAACCTTCCTTCTTTTGCCAAGGCCAACTATTTCCCTTATGGTATTGACTTCAATGGTGGTCCTACTGGTCGTTTCTCCAATGGTTACACCATGGTTGATGAAATTGGTAAACCTCTCACTGCCCTCTTCTTTGGCTTTCCTTGCTTTTATGTTAAGCTTTCAAGAAGTATTTGAGTTCAGGATGCCATGCAGACATAAAATATATTTTTCTTCATGGCCATTGTTTCCTTTCTTCATCTTCTTTGATAGTCAGGCGAAATATTGTTTATAGGAGACAGCCCTCTATATTTTTTGTACTTATTTTAAACCACTCGGAATATGGAGACAGTAGTTTGATGTTTAGCACATTCTTTTCCATGTTATTAGGGTCGGTTTTTACACCTTTCATTTACTTTTTTCTTCGGTTTCTTGAAAGGAAAAGTCATTTTTTTCATTCTCCTAATGACAATTACAAATATTGCAATGCAGCATGCTCTATGAAGTTGGCTAAGCACACACATTTGTGATTGTTAATACAAGGCATTTGACCAACAGTATGATGACACCATAATGCAGTCCCGTTTTGATCTCCTGTTTGTGATAACCAAATTTTGCTTTTGTCCATTTTCTTCCGCAGCTGAACAACTAGGACTTCCTCTGATTCCTGCTTACTCTGAGGCATCAGGAGATCAAGTGCTTAATGCTATCAACTATGCCTCTGCAGCTGCCGGAATCCTTGATGTCACAGGCAGAAACTTTGTAAGCATATCCATTCATACATACAGAATTAAGTAGTATGCATCATCACACATATTAATGAAGCCTTAAAGATATGCACGCATGGTTGCTGAATCATTTTTCGAGGGGGTCATTTGATACCAATTTTATGTTTTCCAAACCTATTGGATTTCTTTACATGGTTCATTATAGTTGGACCATTGATCTAGTTATTCTGGCACCTTCTTGTGTAGTTACAGTTACTGTATTGAATGCTATATAATTCTACATTGCCTACGAACCAAGCAATTTACAGTGTCTGTGGCAGACATTAAATGTCCCGTTTGTATTCACAGGAATAGAATATAATCTAGTAGATGTTTGGTTGGCCATCACACATGATCAAATTAAACTTGCATGCTTGTATTGATATAACATGGACTAATTTTTTTGGATGTATTATTGTTTTGATCAGGTTGGTCGCATACCATTTGATGAACAGATAAGGAATTTTCAGAACACGCTCGATCAGATTACAGATACCCTTGGAGCAGATGATGTAGCTAGGCAAGTTTTACGGAGCTTATTTTTTGTAGGGATGGGCAGCAATGACTACCTTAATAACTATCTCATGCCTAACTATCCAACGAGGAATCGGTATAATGGCAGACAATTTGCAGATCTCTTGACTCAAGAATATAGCCGGCAACTAACTAAACTTTACAATCTTGGAGCACGTAAATTTGTTATTGCAGGGTTAGGAGTGATGGGGTGTATTCCTAGCATCTTGGCCCAGAGCCCTGCAGGAAACTGCTCTGATTCAGTTAACAAGCTAGTTCAACCTTTCAATGAAAATGTGAAGGCTATGCTCAAAAACTTCAATGCCAATCAGTTGTCAGGAGCAAAATTTATTTTTATTGATGTTGCTCAGATGTTCCGAGAAATCCTCACCAACTCACCGGCATATGGTAAGTGCCTCTTGGCTCTAATAAATTGGGCGTATTGTATCTTGAGTATTTTTTTTTTAATTTTCGCTGATATTTATTTGTAGGATTTAGTGTTATAAACCGTGGATGCTGCGGCATTGGGAGAAATAGAGGTCAAATTACATGTCTTCCATTCCAAACGCCTTGTCCTAACAGAGAACAGTATGTGTTCTGGGATGCATTCCACCCAACAGAAGCTGTGAATGTTTTGATGGGAAGAAAGGCCTTCAATGGGGACTTGAGCAAGGTCTATCCTATGAACATAGAGCAGCTTGCCAATCTTGAAATGGAATCCAATTAACAGAAATCCTTGTTTCATTCATGCCGTCATAATTTTTATTTCATCACTGATCTGTCAGAGTCGTAGTTTATTTTGTATTTAAAAGCAAAGAGCTGTTGTGCATGTGCATGTTCTAATTGCTACCATTAATGCAACTACTTTGATTTGGTTTTGTTCCCTATCCCTTTCAAAAAAAAAAAACAAAAAAAACCTCTCTATCTTGGATACATTGCTCTTTTGGTGTGATTGTCTATGCTTGGGAATAAGTGAGAAAGAAAGCAGAACGAACAGGCTGCCCCGCAGTCTAGTTCTTGATACTGAGCAGTAATTAATGCGTTGAAATAATTTCAACAGAAATGTTGCCGTTTTTAATTTTTCTGTCTACAAATATGTTTGCAGTAGTTTCACCAGTGCGTTGTGTATGGTGAGTCTTAAATTCTAAAATCAGTATCTTCAACTAAAATCTGCAAGCATTGTAAGCTGATCACTGGCATTGCTATGTGCTCTGACACGCAGTGGAACTATGCCCCCTCGAGCTTAAAACTGGCGCCCCGCCCCAAATCGTATCCTGGCCCTAGACGTCTAACTTCCAACTGCGGTGACTAATTGCAGCAAGTGTCCACTACATGACATCTTGTATTTAATCAATCAAATAGGAACCCAGCTAACACACTGACTCCTTTTCCCGTGTCCAAAATAAGAGGCCTAGCTGTTTTTCATTTTGTTTTTCCTTGCACATTAATTAAAGACTTTTCTCTGATACAAAGAGACTTGAACTTCTAGAGACGCATTAGTTTTGGCGATTCTTGGGGACCATGTTGGGAGACTTTGTTTCAAGGAAACTCAGCCTTGAAAGGAAAGATACTTGCCTTGGACTCCCCAAAACGTGTTTCCATTGCTATAATGAAGCAGTAGGAAATTTTCAATTGCTTTTATTATCTCAATCTCGCCACATTTATTACAGAAGGAATGAAAGGTGGTAGCACTGAATTGGTGTTAATAAACAAGGAAACAATTACACCATCTTCCACACATTAACATTAAGCATTAACTCAATAGCTTCGAACAAAATACTAAAAATCAACCAAACATATGCAGTGCTATTACAGGGAGACGGGCATAAAGAGTTGAATTTGATCCCTCTCTCATAGCATTGTCAATTGTTGTATACTCACTGGATAAGTGTAAGTTTGTGAATTATACGTTAATTTAGCGAGTAAGATGTTTGCCACTTCTGTCGGGTGAAAGGCATCCCAATATAAGTATTTACTGCGATCCTGGCATATCTGTTGAAGAGGAAGACATGTTATCTGCCCATTGTTCCTCCCCACTCCACAACATCCCTTGTCTGTTACTTCAAATCCTGTATATCATTCTCACAATTCAAAACATGCATACTTGTAGGATAATTAAGCAGGTAGGATAATTAAGTAGGATTTTGAGGTTTCTATGACAAATTAACGTGCAAGTAATAATTACCAAAGGAGGTTCCATTGAGAGACAGATCATTAGAGCTTTTATACGAATCAAGGTAAACAAACTTGGCTCCAGGCAATCGGCCATTGTTGAAATTTTGAACTAGCTTAAGGAGCCCTGAGTTGAATAAAGAAATAGCATTGTTGATTTTCTCATTGCAGCGGCTGTTGGTACCATTATACCTGGCGAGCTGATATGGAATGCAGCCAATTTGGCCAATTGCAGTTACAATCACCTTCCGAGCTCCCAAGGCATATAGTTGCTGAGATTCGAAGGAGAACATGTTCATTCTCTCGGAGAAAAATATTTTGAAAAAAAAATTGATATAATCTATCTACTTACGGTCAACTGGCGAGTGTAATCCTGAAGAAGTACAGCCGCAAAAGCATTTGAAGTGAATTCATGGCTAGTTGAGTAGAAGTCGGACATGAAATAGTTGTTGAGATAATCATTACTTCCCATCCCAGAATAGAAGATGCATTTGCTTAAATAGCTAGTGAGTGCACCGTTATCTCCTCTGAAATATCTCCTCATTTGTTCCACTGTCATGCCAAAGTTGGCTACTTGCTGGTTCATTGAGGTGTGATCCCCCTATCAAAACATGCACATAAGATTACTGAGCTCTTTTAATTCAATCTTATTTACTAATCATTTTGTCAAATTATGCTCCATCTTGCATATGCATCAAGAGATTAATGGTAAGAATGTTGCCAAGTACCAGATTGTTTCCAGTTTCATCCCTGATGCCAGCCGCTCCAGATGCATAATTCACTCCCCTTAATAGCGCTGGGCCCCTTGTTCTCGCATAGGGTGGGATGTAATTTCGAAACCCAAAAAGTTGAGCTGCAAAAATACATGCAATATAGTTAAGTTAGATATATATACATTTTCACGCTGTGGGCATAATATAGCAACCTCCATGGTTGTTTTTTTCTTTTCTAAAATTCCAAGTGCATATCATAAAACGAAACTTACTCAAGGCATCGACATATGTTCGACCGTTGGTAAATCGACCAGTGGCACCCTGCGGAAAATCAATACCATAAGGCCTGTAATTGGCCCTAGCAAGTGTAAGCAACCTGTTGTTGTTTCCATTATCTACCAATGAGTCCCCAAAAATGAAAAAACAAGGTACTTGGCCTTGCTGTGGCTGTGCACAAGCTCGGGTGGCTAACAACACTAATATTAAAGTGACTGGCAAAACCAAATCTGTACTGAAACCCCTCATGTTTCCCCTTATGGTTGATTATGATATGAAGGTACGTATCGTCATGGTGATGGTGCTCAATTTATAGTCCACCAAGATGGGTTCGGATTCGAATTCGCTATTATTGGAATCACAGGTGCTGTTGCTTTAAGCTATTCGACATAGCATATATCATATGAGATAAAAACGATCATACAAAAGAAATTGGAAGAACTTTTAGCTGTAGTCATGTGTTTTTTGTTAAAGTATGAACCAATGAAGTTGCGGTGATAGGGGAGATGAATCTCGTGATCTATCAAGGCTACAACATACTTGCAACTGTCAACTACATTGTTATACAGGTCGAAGCAGTCAAGTAGAATTAAAAACATACATAGATGCGATGGTCAACAGTTTATGAGAAAATTCGTGTATTTATTGGCACTTACTCGTAATATTGTGCCAAAAATAACCAAAATAGCAATGCCAAGGCAAGGCAAGTCAGGGCTACAAAGTAAAATAGATCGTTGACTATAGATGGTTTTACTGAGATCTTATAGAAAAAATGCCACACAAACTTGAAGTTATATGAAAGCTAACTCATAATAAATGACTTGAAAAACAAAAAAACAGTGGTACGCACTCGTGACATGAAGTCATTGAAGAAACAAGATATCAAGTGGACATTTGTACTTGAACCAATTGTGGTCAGCAGCTTTGTTATATAAGATTTGTATAGATATACATGGAAGTAATTAATCACAATGAATTGCAAGAATGATAACAAGATCAGTAGCTCTAGTCAAGGAAGCATTTTGCAATTGTCATGGGATTGTTTTGCAGCTATAAAGGATCATGAGATGTTCCTTTCCTTCCTTGAATATTTCTATTATCGGCACAATTTTCTTGACTGCATATATGGGAGTGATATTTTCTTACACCCTCCCTCATAATCAATGGGTAGAGAGATATGTTGAGTTTGTTTGGAAACCGAGATGAGGACAAGACTTTAGTAAATCCATCTACCATCTGATTGTCACTTCCAATAAATTGAACATGAAGCGCTCCTCGTGCTCGACATTCTCGTATAAAATAGCAATCAATTTCTATATGTTTTTCTGCGTGCATGCAGTATTGGATTGGGAACGGGATAAGTAGTGCTAATATTTTTACGAAACAGGGTAGGAGGATTAGCCAAGAACACACTTAGATCATAGAGTAAAGATTGTATCTAACATAAATATATTGTAATTAACAACAAGTGTTGATATTCAATTTTAGTAGTAGAGTGTGAAACTGTTAATTGTTTTTTAGAGCATCATGATACGAGGTTAGGACCAAGAAATAAACAACTAGTTGTTAGTTGAACAATAATTATCTTGTAATCCAGCCCAATCCGAATCAAAAAATACTTTAAAAGAGAAAGAAGATATGGGAGAAAAGTGATACCATAGCCAACAATACCTTTAAGATAACATGTGATATTCATTTGACAGCCTCAAAGTTTACTATTGTGGGAGAATGCATGTATTGATAGACTTGATTTACAGCATTGGATAAATATGGCCTCGTCATGGTGAGTTATTGTAATACTCTAACAATATGATATGATGTAGCTTCATTAAAGAATCACCATTATAATTTGGATAGTGTTTAGTACTAATAAGAGAAGAACACCCTGAAATCTCCATATCATACTTTGTTGGTTAAGTGATATTGATGAATTTAAAGTTATAATAAAAATCAATTCCCATGAAAAAAATTAAGAAACCAAGATCCTTTATATCAAAATAAAATGATAAGTACTAAGTACGATACTTAATATCCTTTGTATCACTACCAAAAATGAAAATATCATCAAAATAGAGAAGTAAAAATTTACATTTACTTTATATATGTCAAACAAATAGTTAGAGATTGACAATAAAAGTAGAGGTTTCTCCAAAATCAATGTCTTGTTGTTGATAAAATTTCTTTACAACAAGTTGAGCTTTGTGCTTCTTAATAGTTTCATCTGAATGATGTTTGGTCTTAAATAGTTATTTGCAGTCAATAACATTAAGATATGGTATAGGTGAGATATGGTATAGGTGGAACCAGGGACAACATGCCATTTCAAATCAAAGCATTATACTCTTCCAACATTTTGTTTACCAAATGAAGATATTTAACTAATTAGAAGTAACAAATAGGATTTGTTGTAGTAGTTAATAGAAAGGAGTAACATTTTATAATTAGATGTTTTGTAGCTATCAAGACTTTAAGTTTATAAATGCCATATTTTAAACAACTTATTATAGAAGGGTAACATGACCAAAAGATTGATGTCTTCTTCCAAGTACAAAAATGTCAAAGTAATAAATAACCCAGCAAGACTAGGGTCAAACCGTACAAAGGTGAACTATATAAAACTATAAATAATAAATGAAAAGGAGTTGAAGACAATTCCTAAGATGTGATATTGATATAAAGATTAAACGAAGATAAAATAATTGTCAAGGTTAGAGGATCCACTAA